TGCTGGGATTACAGGTGTGAGCCACCAAACCCGGCCTTGGTACCTTAAATAGTATTAAATTGTTAGAAAGGGATGGTCTGGCATTTTTTAGGTGCTGAATTTTTATATTTTTAATAGTACCATCTCTTCAATGTGGTGGATTAACAACTACCTAAATAACCTTGGTATAAGCTGGTTTCTACCCAAAAACTTTTCAGTAGACTTCACTACTCCTCTTAATGGAAATGCAAACCAAATAAGAAAATTGAGACAAACAGATGCCAAGAATTTGTTCAGGATCACACAGTCAACAGATATAGTGCTTACACTATTTTTTTTTTTTTTTCCTGTCCTCCCTCTACCACCCGTCTACTCGTCTCTGTTTATTAGCCCATCTGTTAATATTATTTCCATGGGACATGTGGATGTATTGATTTAGGCTTGTATCAATACATCTATTATATTTTTAGACCATGTGATACCAGATGCTAGTATGGGTATCAAACTTCCTAAATAAGGCTGGACATGGTGCCTCATACCTGTAATCCCAGTACCTTGGGAGGCCGAGGTGAGAAGACTGGCCCAGGAGTTTGAGACCAGCCTGAGCAACAGAGAAAGACCTTGTTTCTACTAAAAATAAAAAAAATTAGCTGGCAGCGATGGTGCATGCCTGTAGTCACAGCTACTCTAGGAGGCTGAGGTGGGAGGATTGCTTGAGCCCAGGAGTTTGAGGCTGCAGTGAGCTGTGATTGTGCCATTGCACTCCAGCCTGTGTGCCACAGCAAGACCCTGTCTCCCAAAAAAAAAAAAAAAAAATTTATAAATATGTATTTCACCCTAAAATTTCAGTGCATCAGACTACAAAATATTGGTGTTTAACATAAACTGTTGTCTTAAAACCTTGGTGTGTGATAGAAAATAACCCTGGACCCTTATTTTCTTGAGTGATGTTTAAGACTAGGCTGACCAGTCTTAAAGCATGTTGTAGTTAATTCTTTAAGCACAAGGAACCATGGAACCAGGTACAGCTTACGTACCTCTCTGAGGTTCCCCTGTCTTCAGAAATGCTATTATGTGTCCTTCATCCCGATAGATTAGGACCTAGCAATGTGTCCTATTATAGAATAATTACTATTTGAATCACTTTATATAATAGGAAGCATTTTTTTAGAATGGCTTCTCGATTAATAATGGCCTATTCGTTTTTTTGTTTTGTTTTGTTTTTGAGATTGAGTCTTGCTCTGTCGTCGCCCAGGCTGGAGTGCCGTGGCACAATCTTGGCTCACTGCAACCTCCGCCTCCCGGGTTCAAGCGATTCTCCAGCCTCAGCCTCCCGAGTAGCTGGAATTACAGGCATGTGCCACCACACCTGGGTAATTTTTGTGTATTTTTAGCAGAGATGGGGTTTCACCATGTTGGCCAGGCAGGTCTTGAACTCCTGACTTCAGGTGATCCGCCTGCCTCAGCCTCCCAAAGTGTTGGGATTACAGGTGTGAGCCCCACGCCTGGCATATCTGTGTATTTATATGTGGCCAACCTATTGTATGAGAGAGCAGACAGGAATAGTGACAGATTGTTTTGTTTTCATTCCTTACTAAGGAAAATTTCAAACATACGCCAATGTATTAAGAACAGTATAATGAACTCTCTCATGTGCCCATGACCCACTTCAACAGTCGTCAAGTTAACAATCTTTTGTCATCTCCATATTCCCCACCCCAGCTTCCCCAGACTATTCTGAAACAAATTTCAGGTATGACGTCATATTTAATTCATGAATATTATGGAGTTATTCAGTCAGCATACTTTATAGCTATTTGTGAGGAATAAATAGGGAAAGAGGAAAAACTGGAAGGGGGAATCATTAGGACCCAGTTGCACAGACAGTTGCAACTAAGGGAGTGGAGATGCAGACGATCTCCTTGGGACTGGGAGCAGCTGTGTTTAGGATTGACACTGGGGGAACAGGCAGAGGGAAGCACGGTCTTGGCATTGGCAGTTTTCACATTGTTGGCTTCTGTCTGTCTGTTGCCAGCTTCATTCTCATTCTTTCTATCCTTGTCTGTCCTGTTTTGACTCTTCATTGTCATTTTAGTGGGTTGCCAGGAGGCAGCAGTGATAAACTGCATGCATTTAGCATGCTGTGTTTTCCTGGAGGTCCCACTGACTTTAATTTCAGTAACAGTGGTTTTCATTTGCCAACTCTGTCTGGTGTTTCCCCACCATGCAGGTAAGATAGGCTCTAAAACTATTGAAATCTGGGGTTTTAATTTTCATAGGGCACTTATTTATCCTTGCTCATATATGGGAAATTTTTCTCTTTGTGCCAATAGGCAGAGTTTTTGGTCTCATTTTTCTAGAGTTTTTAGCTCTGTGAGAGAACCTGCTTTATATAGGGGTTTCAATTCAAAATTTCTGCCTCACATGGACTCAAGTTTTATCGCCTGTCCCTTGTAATTCTTACTGTGTCTTAACGTATCTCGGGGTTACTGTACATTTAGTATCTGCCATCTGCTCAAATGCTCTAAGCTTTCTCTATGATTCTGATACTGGGAGTTCAGAAATTCACTTAAGCATATTTTTTCCCCTGCTTTTAATTTATCCAACATCTCTAGGTGATTAAGAGGGTTTCAGTGTTGTTCATTTTCCTGCCACACATACATCTGTCACCTCTGTATGCTTATTCTGTGATTATGTGCCTCTTGAGGAAGAAAAAGATGCATAGAATCATTTAAACTGTAATTTTCTAAAGTACTTGTGTTGTGAAACAGGTAGAAAATACTATAAGATGGAGGATACGCCGGGATGAAGAAGGAAATGAAATTAAAGAAAGCAATGCTCGGATAGTCAAGTGGTCAGATGGAAGGTGAGCACAAAATGCCTGAAGGGTATTGACATACCCAGAATGGGTCAGAGGGATCAAGTTTTGAAATACTTTTTATTTTTAAATTTATTATTATTAGTTTTAGAAATGGGGTCTCACTCTGTTGCCCATGTTGGAGTGCAGTGACATGATAATAGCTCAGTGGAGCCTCAAACTCCTAGTCCTAAGTGATCCTTCCACCTCCCAAGTAGCTGGGACTGCCTGGTGTGCACCACCCTGCATGGATTATGGGAAAAAATAAAAAAAGCCTGGGCACGGTGGCTCACGCCTGTAATCCCAGCACTTTGAGAGGCCAAGGCGGGTGGATCACGAGGTCAGGAGTTCAAGACCAGCCTGGTCAAGATGGTGAAACCCCGTCTCTACTAAAAATTAGCTGGGTGTGGTGGCAGATGCCTGTAATCCCAGGTACTCTCAGGAGGCTGAGGCAGAGAATTCCTTGAACCCAGGAGGCGGAGGTTGCAGTGGGCTGAGATCGCACCACTGCATTCCAACCTGGGCAATAGAGCAAGATGCCGTCTCACAAAAAAAAACAACAAAAAACACTTTGTAGACACAGTTCTCCATATGTTGCTTAGGCTGGTCTTGAACTCCTGGGCTCAAGCGATCCTCCACCTCCCAAAGTGCTGGGATTACAGGCGTCAACCACCGTGCCCGGCCACAAATTGACATTTTAGAAAAATTGCCCTTCACTGGGACTGTAGTAGAGCCTGGTAAATGTCCCAGCATGTGTTACTTCTTTGTAGTCAGTCAGTTTTTCTCATTATGACTTCTTATTTTCTTTCCTTCTGAATTCTATTTAAAGAGAGAGAGCAGCAGTTGAATCACGTTTTGTTTTGTTTTTTTTTTTCCTTGAGATGGAGTCTTGTCTTATCGCCCAGGCTGGAGTGCAGTGGCACGATCTTGGCTTACTGCAACTCCACTTCCTGGGTTCAAGCAGTTTTCCTGCCTCAGCCTCCTGAGAGCTGGGACTACAGGTGTGTGCCACCACACCCAGCTGATTTTTGTATTTTTAGTAGAGACAGGGTTTCATCATGTTGGCCAGCCTGGTCTCAAACTCCTGACCTCGTGATCCCACCCGCCTCAGTCTCTCAAAGTGCTGGGATTACATGTTTGGGCCACCGTGCCCAGCCTGAATCACCTTTAAGTGAAGTAAGATGGTAGAGTGAAAGCTTTATGACTTTAGTATATGAAATGTTTCTTCTTTCCAGCATGTCCCTGCATTTAGGCAATGAAGTGTTTGATGTGTACAAAGCCCCACTGCAGGGCGACCACAATCATCTTTTTATAAGACAAGGTACTGGTCTACAGGGACAAGCAGTCTTTAAAACGAAACTCACCTTCAGGTAACTGTTATTATTATTATGTATTATTTTTTATGGTAAAAGCAGTGAAACATAGATGTTTCTGTAATGCCTGCCACCTGATTGATGTAACCCCACGGTGTGATTCAGCAAGAACCAAGATCTTGTGCATAGTTCTGCTGGTTCAAAGGTTATTTTGTCAAATACACTGAAAGTTGCTATTTCTTAGGGAACCAGGTCATGCTAACCAGACTTACAAGAGAATGTCAATGTATTTAATTCCAGTGACTATTATAACTACCTTGGGTAATGCTTATCTTTAGAGGGGGCACAATAATGTTGGTTATGATTTAGCTTTTTGAAATTGTAAAGGTCAACATACAGGCTTTGGAATCAGTTAGGCTCATATTTGAATTCCGTTTCCACTTGTGTGACCTTGTGCCACTTTCTCAATCTCTTTTTGTCTCAGTTTCCTAAATCTATAAAATAAGATAGTTATATTAACAATATTAATATATTAATACTAATTAAAAGTAATGGCAAAAGCCGTAATTACTTTTGCACCAACCTGTAGTATCTAATTAATGTTGCTTGAGCTTATCCATTTATTGCTTCTAGAAGGCGATCATGCCATACAGTCTTTTTTACTCCAACCTTCTGTTTTCATTTGTGGAATAAGAATGTCTCAGTGAGCCACAGAATGAAGAAAATCACAATCTTCCACCTGGTATATTCAGTCGAGTGTCCCTGCCTGTTTGTTCAGGTGACTAGGAAATGGTCACTGGGCTCTTCTGTGACGTGGGTATCACTGGCTCACAAATGTATCTGGTAAACAGTGAGATGCTCTGTTTATTTCCTGGCAGACCTCACTCTACGGACAGTGCCACACATAGAAAGATGACTCTGTCGCTTGCAGATAGGTGTTCAAAGACACAGAAGATTAGAATCTTGCCAATGGCTGGTCGTGATCCTGAATGCCAACGCACAGAAATGATTAAGGTATGTTTGCTAAGCCTTATCCTGGGATTCTTTGTTAATTAGGAAAGTATTTCCCAAAATGCTTGTTCTTCATCTCTTATTGGCCCACCTTTTCCTCTTCCAACCAACATGAATAGGGAGCTGGATTCATTTCCTCAGCATTCGCCAAACAATGCGTGATGCGGCGATGACAGTAAAACAGACACAGGGCTCAAGTTCTCTCTTCACCAGGCCCTGAGAGTTCAGCAACAAACCAGTGATTGAAATATCTGAATTTTCATGTATAAGTCCAAAGATCATTAAGTCTTCTATGTGTGGTTTAGAATCCATGTCAGAAGTCAGTGGAGATACCAGAGAGTAGTGTAAAATAGAGAATAGACCAGGAGTTTGAATGAGAGAGTGCCTAAAGGAGACTCTGGTAAAGAATAAGATGAGCTTATGAGTTTTTAAGGTCAGTTTGTAACATTCTACCTGGTATATTTTCAAATGTGACCCAGCTGTTAATTAGGCACAAGTTTATTTGGGGCGTTGTACCTAATCGATAGAGCATGCGGTCATATTGGCCATTGGCCTTTCCTGCAGCACTGTGTTTGAGAAGCCAGATGCAATGGTACAGGCTCATCATTTCTCCTCTCCATCTCCTCTAATCCCTACTAGATTTGGCCTTTGCCCAACCTGCCTTTGTGATTATATTGTTTAGTGAAGCAGGGCATGGTGAGGCTAAGACAGTCCAGTTGCCTCAGGGCCTTTCTTACTAATCTTATGGTCAGGTTCTGCTGAAGGTTTGGCACTGAGCCCTTACTTTTTCCTCCATCCTATATTTGTTCATCGAGGCAGATTAAACCAGATCTCATAGCAGTACCTAACCCCGTGGTATATAGGGGCATTTGCTTTGGAGCTGGGCTTGTTCCATTTCCCCACCTTTTCTGTACAGGCTAAGGGAGTTGGAGGAACCTGCAGATTCCAGCCTCAGCATTACTGGAGGAGCTCTTGAACCACTTTAAGCATCCCCCTACACCCTCCTCCATGTCCCCAGCTCCTGTGAAAATGTAGACAAGGAGTCAGCTAGTTTGTTCTTAGTCCCTGTACTACTGACAGTGATTTTTACTCTAACCTCCGTACAGCCACATATTACAAAAACAATCTGTTTCATAGAATTCCTAGCAATAGATGTGGAGTTGTGTATGATAATACAGAGCAATTGGATGAGGAAGACCTTCAAAGAAATCCCAGAATATCCCTGAAACCTACTCGAACACCACCCCTACCCCCAACCTGGTTTAACATCAAGATGCAGAATGCCAGGCAGTGCAAAAGAAACGAAAGCTCTACCTTGTGGCTTTAGGACGCTCCCCAGCCTGTCATCAGGAGCCGTGAGGAGCTGTCTGGGTTAGGGGCTGAGGGGCTGGGACCAGAATATCTGGAACTATGGGCGTTTGGTAGAGCTGGGGCAGATCAGGTGTCTGTGGTTCAGGGATGAACAGGAACAGCCACTGCTACTCCAGGGAGTCACTTTAGGTGTCTGCTGGGCATGGATGGGGTTTCTCAGGCGGGTCGCTTCCCTCTGGGTTAAGTGGCAGCACAGGACACCAGCACGGCTCCCAAGGACACACCTGTGCCAATGCCAGTTGGGCCGGTTAGTGTCAGGGCTCCCTTCTGCTGCTTTACCCTTGTGTTGCCTTCGCTCCTGCAAACCAAACCAGAGGGTCCATGTGGAGGCACAGAGGTGTGATGGGGAACACACACAGGACAGCTGTTATCTTGACCAGACATTACATGCTGTTTGTGATAAAAGTGGGTTCAAGTGGGCACAAAAGTAGCTCCTTTTTAGGTTAAAGAGGTTATTTGCTTCTTTATAGAAAGAAGAAGAACGTTTGAGGGCTTCCATACGTAGGGAATCTCAGCAGCGCCGAATGAGAGAGAAACAGCACCAGCGGGGGCTGAGTGCCAGTTACCTGGAACCTGATCGATATGATGAGGAGGAGGAAGGCGAGGAGTCCATCAGCTTGGCTGCCATTAAAAACCGATATAAAGGGGGCATTCGAGGTGAGTCATGTGTGGAAATTACATTTCATCATTTCAGGATTCTGGACTTCATCCTGGCATTGGATGTAATCTGACTGCCAAGTCAATGGACCTTTTTTTTTTTTTTTTGAGACAGAGTCTTGCTCTGTCATTCAAGCTGTAGTACAGTGGTGTGATCTCGGCTCACTGCATCCTCTGCCTCCCGGGTTCAAGTGATTCTCCTGCCTCAGCCTCCCGAGTAGCTGGGATTACAGGTGTGCACCACCACACCCGGCTAATTTTTGTATTTTCAGTAGAGACGGGGTTTCACCATTGACCAGGCTGGTCTCAAACTCCTGACCTCAAATGATCTGTCCGCTTTGGCCTCCCAAAGTGCTGGGATTACAGGCATGAGCCACTGTGCCTGGCCAGGACATTTTTAAAGAACCGGTTGTCATGAGTGATCTTAGTTCATTCAGATGGGCTTGAAAGGTAGGAACTGCTGTTGTTCCCACTTTGGGTTTTATCCCTTGAGCTTCTGCTTTCTGACTTGAGAATCTGTCAATTATATTGGAACTTCTGTAAACTTTTTTTTATTACCTAACTGGGAATCAAGAAATTAAACTATTCCAAAATTATGTGATATTTTCTTTCATTCTTCTTCTACATTTCTCTTAGAAGCATATTTCCTCCTTTCGCAAGTATCAGTGATTTCTGATGGTTACCGTTTTTTCCACACATACTGAATTTTAGGCAGATGCTCAACACTTGACATGCATCCTATTTGATCCTCATAACAACATTATGATCTAGTTGCTCTTATTTCTTTGTTCTTATTGCAGAAACTGAGACTTTGAGAGGTTGAATAACTTGCCCAAAGGCACGTAGTTGCTAAGTGGTCAGTTCTTAAACCAAGGTCATCTGACTTCTGAGACATCTGTCCCACCTGGTTCTTACCCAGGGGTTCCCCCAAGCCAGTAGCAAGAAGACATGCTGAAAAGCAAACGAAGAAGACCTGGCTGGCCTCGACCCTGCCCACTCTCATCTCAGTCCTGCCACTTTTTAGTTGTGTAACTTCTGAAGAGTTACATAGTCTCCCTTAACTTCTGTTGCCTCATCATGACAAACACAACCTATTAATAATGGTAGTTAGAGCATAAGGTTGTTTTGAGGATTACATGATATATTTAAAGTACTTAGCCTAGAGCCCGGCATATAACAAGTAAATTTTTAAAACACCCAAATTTATTTTTCTCTGACTCTCCTGTGAAACTCATTTCTCCTTTTCTTGTAGTGACTGCATTTGGTCTGGTGACCTGTTACATATTACCTACCTATTATTTTTTGGGGGCCACAGTACAGAGACCCTTTCTTTTTTGTCAATGCTGATTTCCCATAGAAAAAGATTCAATTGTGTGGAAATAAACCACACAAAAATTAAATAAAAATTTTAAAAATCTGAGGATGCTTTAAGGGAGAGAGGTATGTAACATTCAGGTCACCAGAGATTAAAAATCTAGCACATGAGTCTAGTAGTGCTCAGATCCATACAGTAATCAGATAGACAAGGAGCGGGGACAAAGGGAAGGCTTTGGGTTTTGAGGGGAGGGGCTTGGTCTAAAGTCCTTGGCTCTTATTCCACCCAGAGGTTCACCTGGGCTTGGGCAGTGGAGCAGATGGGCGCCCCTCTGCATCTCTCTTTGAAAGGTCCACCTGGCAACAAATGGTCTTTACAGGACCAGGAAAACACTTTCTTGCTTTACCTTCAAAGCTCATTTTGGAATTAACTGTTACCGGTGGAAGAATGTCTCAGGCTTTAATAGTTGACTTCGGAAGAGTAGGGTATCTGCTTCTTTAGAAACCTTGCACACAAGCCTTTTTGATCTTTAAAGGTGGTCAGGTTTTTGTATTTTGAGAGGGTAAGTCTGCTTTATTTCAACATATCTAAAATTTATATTTATCTTTAAATCAAAAACTTTAAAATTATTTGGTTCCTCTGGGAGGAAATATACAGAGGGAACTAAAGATATTTATGAGAAGAAACCATTTAAGAATGAATAGTTCACTGTCTTCGAAAGTCACTCACAGCTGGGCACAGTGGCTCATGCCTATAATCCCAGCACTGTAGGAGGCTGAAGAAGGAGGATTGCTTGATTCTAAGAGTTCAAGACCAGCCTGTGCAACATAGCAAGACTTCATCTCCACTAAAAGGAAAAAAATATTAGCTGGGCATGGGTAGGCAGTGCACACCTGTGGTCCCACCTACTTGGGAGGCTGAGGCAGGAAGATCACCTGAGCCCAGGAGGTCAAGGCTGCAGTGAGCCATGATTATGCCACTTCTCTCCAGCCTGGGCCTCAAAGCAAGACCCTGTCTCAGGAAAAAAAAAAAAAAAAAAGGTCACTCACAATCTATACTTTTGCTTTCAGAGGAACGAGCCAGAATCTATTCATCAGACAGTGATGAGGGGTCAGAAGAAGATAAGGCTCAAAGATTACTCAAAGCAAAGAAGCTTACCAGTGATGAGGTAAGACCAAATTTATTCAATTCTAGGGGTTTATCCTGTACTCAGGAGCCAACTGCTTTGAATGAAGAGCTCACAGATCAGACAGGCACAAATTAGTTGTCTACACACTTCACTGAAATCCAGCGAGATAAATGCAGTAACAAGACAGAGTGCTCCAGAGGAGGGTCTGATACCAGTATTTAGAGAGGTCTTAGAAGGCTGCATGGAGGATGAGACTTCTTGCTGGGTGTTGAAGAGTGATCAGAAGCTTGCTGGGCAAACTGTCCTATCTCTGGTAGGTCACTCTGGATAGATGGAAAGGCCTGGAAGAAAAGGTGCAGGTCCCTGACATACCAAGGCTCATCCAAGAGAGAGTGATGGATCATTCAGTGTGGTAGACCAGAGGGTGTATCTTCTTTTTGTAAAAATTCTCCGTATTTTTTTTTATTAGGAAAATAATTCATTCTTGGTTAGAGGTGGTGGCTTATGCCTGTAATCCCAGTATTTTGGGAGGCCTAGGCAGGCAGATCGCTTGAGCTCAGGAGTTTGAGACTAGACTGGGCAACATAGGGAGACCCCATCTCTCCAAAAAAGTACAAAAATTAGCTGGGGGTAGTGCTGTGTGCCTGTAGTCTCAGCTACCAGAGTCTTGAGGTGGGAGGATTGTTGGGGTGGGAGGACTGTTGGGGTGGGAGGACTGTTGGGGTGGGAGGACTGTTGGGGTGG